TGAAGGGAGGGGGGCAGGCAGGGAGGGAGGAGACGGAGCAGCTAGCCCTTTTGTGGGCCCCGGAGACGGCAGGGCCTGTTTTTTCACCGTTCCCAAAAATATGTCCCTGGAAAATGGAAACGGCAGAAAAACGGCGACCAGACACGGCAAGAAAACGGCTCCAGGATTGGAACCGGAGCCGGAACCGGTCAGAAAACGGCGACGGAACCGGTGAAGAAACGGCGTCGGAACCGGCAACAAAAACGGCAAAACGGAACCGGTAAAAAAAACGGCCTTGCCGTTTGTTTCCAGGGCCCACTAAGAGCTAGCCATAGCATGCTTGCCAGCGGGGCCCCTAGCAGCCGACCTCCCAGCAGCAGCAGTGCGGTGCCTGCCGCGGCCGACGACATCGGATCCCGCCCCCTTCCACCCGCCCGGAGAGAGCAGCGGAGGGCGGGGTGACGAGGGACCAACCCGGCTCGAGCTGCTTGGGGGAGGGTGGTGCGCGCCTGGCTGACCCTTTTCAGCGGAAGTCACCCCGCTCTGTCATCTCCCAGTCCCTCTCGACCCTGGTCTCGCCCCTCGGGAGTAGGGGGGAGCTCTCGGGAGCCTTTTGGGGGGGAGGTACTTGTAAAAACGCCCAAGAGCGGCTAAGGGATCCGCCGGCTGGGGGTAGAGTCGGGGCGCTGAAGAAGAAACCTTGTTCGTTGGGGAGGGGCTCCGTGTTCCTTGGTCGTTTCACAGCTTGCCTTAGGTTTCCCTCAGGTGTTCGATGGGACGTCGAATTGTAATTGATGGGAAAAAGGGGCCTCGTTCCTTATTTAGGGTTCCTTAGGTCAACGCCCCGACTGTAGTGCGTTCTTGGCCTGCGTTCCTGCTGACGGCCATTCTGTCGGTGCGAGGCCGTGGGTTCGCGTCGGAGAGGTCGGGGAAGCCGACGGCGTCTCTGGGAGGGATCTCGGGGGGAGCGGCACAGGTCCTTCGACCGCCTGTGCTGGTCCGTTCGGGGCCGAGGCCCCCACGCGGGCCCCATGGGGGCCCACTGTGTCTAGTGGACAAGACGGGGCTCCCAGTGGTCCCGGCACTGAGCGGTACACGGGAGCCCCCGCCCAGGGTTGCCGAGTTGCAAGCCGCCATGTTGAGGATTCTCGGACCCCTGGGGACACTCCAGCCAGCGCCTGCGGCGACACGGCGCCGGATGTCTCGCGCGCCCCACGCATCGGCGCTGGCGGGGTGGAGCCACTGCGCTTCCACTCCTCCTCCTCCTCCTCCTCCTCCTCCTCCTCCTCCTCTCCTCCTCCTCCTCCTCCTCCTCCTCCTCCTCCTCCTCCTCCTCCTCCTCCTCCTCCTCCTCCTCCTCCTCCTCCCATTCCACCTCGTCATAATCCTGCCCCCTCTCCGCGAGCGGACAACGCTCAGCTTCCTGGGCGCGATGGTGGGAAGGGGGGGGGGGGGGGGGCGTGCCGCGGGCCCCTCGGGTGCCCGCCACCACCCCAGGGAGCCAAAAAAAGGGGCCCCGCCTCCTTCGATCGCCCCCCCCCATCGTTTTTCTCCTCTCCTGCCTTTTTCCTTCCCTGGCGGTCCCCCCCTCTCCCCGCCCCCTCTTTGGGAAATGAACCACCAATTCCCGCTTTCCTCCTCCCCGTCCTCGTCCTCCTCCTCCTCGCCCTCTTCTTCCTCATTCTCCTCCTGCTTGCCCTCCTTTTCCTCCTCTTCCTCCTCCTCCTTCTCATCGCCGCCTGCACTGGAGACCAGAGAACCAGCCATGAAGGAAGTGTGCTGACCATACTTTCGCAAGACTTCTGCCCTACCGATCGCACATGCCATGGAGGGGACAAGGGGGTGAGACAGTATGGCACGTTGAAGTTTATACATGTTTTCTCGCAGGGACTACGGGCATCACTTTTTCTACCGCCTGGCCGCCAGTTTTAATGAGGTGCTGGAGGAGATATGTCGGAAACTACGAGGATGGGGCGCGGTGGTATTTACATGTGCACACAGACGAGCAGGATCAGAACCAACACTGTCGACGCATTTGAGTCACCACTGGAGGATCCTCCCCCCCGCCATTCCTTTCCTCCCCCTCCCATTATCCAGCCCCGTCATTCATCCACCTCCTGCGCCCCCCTCCCCCCTCCCCTCCGCGCTTCTTCCCACCCCGCCCTCCGTTCAGAAGCGGTGGGTCTGCCGAAGAGGTGCCGACGCTGCTGCAGTGGATCTCGCCTTCGAGCCTTCGAGCACACAGGCCAGCAGGCCCCGCCTGTCCTCGCGGGCCCTGACGAGCCGCTGCGTTGCGTGCGCGGTGGCGGGGTGGGGTGGGGGGGCGACGCGCCAGCGTGCGGGGTGCATCCCCGTGCCGAAGGGTCGCGTGGAGCCGAGGGGCCCACCTCCCTGAGGGGGTCCACGGTCGGCCCGGATTAGTAGGTCGACGTTGCCAGCTCAAGGGTACCTTTGTGTCCTGTGCCTCGCGACACGTGCCCTCTTACACTCCTATGGCGATGTGGCCTTCGGAAGGGTCTTG